AGAGAGAACACTGTGTGTATTCTCCCCATCTGTGCATGGTTGCTATTCTGCTGTTTATCTCTGGTCTATGTGCACGTGAACTCTGTCTCTTCCTCCCCTGTGTCTCATGCATGTATGGGCGTGTGTGAGTACTTCTATGTGTGAGTGGCAATCAATTGTCAAACAACCAAGTTCATAACAGTTGGTATCGGAGCGGAGATTGGACTCGAGTCCAGAGGGTTGAGCGCAACAGGGGCATCTCCTCTTTCTGGCCCTGACTGGTGAGAAGTGCCATGGTGGTTCTTCTTCTTCAGTAAAGATCCAGTGGAAGAGAAGACAGACAAGCGGTGATTGCAGGGCATCAGTTTGCGATTGATCACGCACCCTGAGCTTGTCTGTGTGCCTGACAGGAAGTGGCGAGAACAGGGATATTTCGCCATCCACCTATCTGACCTCAGTTGATGACTGGGATCAGGGTGGCGAATTACACCCTAATCCAGTAATAACTGGGTGGCGGCTTCAATCCCAGTGTAGCGCTGAGGGAGGATTGATCACAGGATCACCTCCTGCTAAATTAACCCTACTCAGGGCTAAATTTAGCACCAGCGGCTCATACCTGCAGTGACGAGATACCTTCAGGAGAGTATTCTCTCGCCACTGAGGCAGAGGTGGAGTTGAATCGCCACATCATACTGGAGCGGATCAACAAGTTTCAGGAGATTCTGTACGTGGGAAGCTGTGGAAGAGTGCCTGCAAGTGCTGGCGAGACTAGGGTTTGGCAGCCATAGCCAGAGCTTCATCACCCACTGAGTGAAATACTTCAAGTGAGTTTGTTCCAGATGAATCCCTGAGTAGCGATTAAATTGTATCCGTAGAAGTAGGATTGATGGTCTGTCTGTCAAGAGTGTAACAATCGTGAAATTGTCAGACTGCAAGACAGCCATATCCATCTTCTTCCTCCCTACCCTGACTCATCTCTTCATCTACTGACCTGTTCTGACTCAAAATTGTTCGATGCCTGCCTGACAGTATTGCACTGCATCCTGTATGTTCATTCTGTGAATTCTGTACTGAAAAAGTAGTGATACTGTGGATTTGAGTTTTGCGCTGAGTCTATTTATAGTCTAGGCTACCTAGGGTCAGTCATAACTCAAAATCTGGCCGTCAGAATTCAAGTCTGTCAGTGTAGGGTGAATCGCAATTCTATTTTTCGCATCAGTGCTAAAGCGCTAGTCCAGAAACATCGTATTTGAGTCATTACAGTGTAATCCTGAAATTCGCCATACCTGGGGTTATTTCCGTTGATGTCAACAGTGGCGAAATTTGAGTTTGGGGCTGTCAGGGTGTAGTTTACTAAATCGCTACTATTTGTTATCCTGTTTCAGTCAAGTCTTGCCTGTTTCCATCAATACTACTAATTTGCTCTGCTTTCTGATGGGCTCTGGAATGCTAGTGACCCCTGGAATGCTGTGAATGTGCATCTTGCAACTCCAGTGAAAGTGCAGTGTCAGGTATAAGAAATCGTTAGTGCATGATTTAACTGGACATCCAGTCAACCTGACTACTGACCCCAGTGGCCCTATTCCAACCCTAACCGCTTGTGCCCACTGACCCACATTGCTCTGTGAATTCACAGTGCAGCGAATTTTGAGAGTCTGTGTGTACTGTAAATCGCTGCACCTCCTGCTGTTTTATTTATTTGTTGTGTTGTTCTGAGAGGGAAGATGTTTGAAACCGCTGACACAGGTGCAGGGCATGTGGAGGTAGTGGTTAAGGATGAGGCCCAAGCGTCACCCTCAACTCCACCTCCCCCTCCTCTAACCCTTGCGCAGCGGCGCAAGAAGGAGATCCAAGAGAAACTACGAGAGCAACAGGCGTTGCTCGCAGAGGCAGAGAGACAAGCGGCTGCAGAGCTGGAAGCTGCAACGGATGCTTCCAGAAAAGAGCATCTGCTGCAGCAGGCTCAGAAGATTTTTTCGGATGCTAGAGTGGCCCAGTGTACCAGGGACCTGGCTGAGCTGGTACTTTTGCAGGACAAACTTACAGCCAGCCATTTCACAAACTGGGATGAGAGAATCCAGCGGCTGGAGACTAGAGTGGCTGATCTGGGAACTCAGCAGTCTAAGATTCTGGATGCTATCCAGAATCTGACTGCTCAGTTAACAGCAACCACCGTCATCAGTCCCCTGGTCCCTGTGGTCCCCTCCCTGAAGCCCAAGAAGCCTTCTCAACCCCCTTCTCCACCTCCTTCTTCACCTCCTCGATCTCCTCATTCTTCGCACAAGTCGTCTCCCTCTGTCTCCTCCCAGGCCAAAGCTACACCTCCTCCCACCTTTGCTCCTGTTGTTGCTAGGGACCACAGAGGTCCCAAGATCCCTGCCCCTAGCAAATTCAGGGGGGATGACCCCAAGGTTGATGTGGGGGACTGGGCAGCTGGTACCCGGGCCTATCTAAAACGGTTCCAATGCCCAGAGCAGCAAAAGGTGGCAACTGTTGTGGGCCTGCTGGAGGGGCCTGCCCAGAAATGGGCTACCTCTACAGCAGGTGCCCAGAGTCAGACTCTGGAGGACTGGGCATTGGCACTGGGGGCTGACAAACTTTTGCAGGCCCTGGAAGACCAGTTTGCAGACAAAGAGAGAGTCCACAGAGCTGCTGATAAAATAGTACGCCTGGGCCAGCAACGTTACAGCAGCAGTCTGCAGGCCTTGTTTGCTGAATTTGAACAGTTGACTTCCACCCCTGGATTGGCTATGTTTGCAGGTGATCTGTTGACTAACTTTTGCAGAGCTGTGCCTAAAAAGTTTTGTGTTGCATTGTACAGCGCCGGTCACAAAGACTGGAGATCTTTTGGGACGCGCAGCACTAGACATGGAGGCTAAGCTCCATGTCCAGGCCCCCTTCAGTGATAGGAGGAAAGGTGCCTTCCCTCGCGGTGGTAGAAGGGGAAAGGCGGCCTTTGCATATGCGGGTTCTGGGTCAGCCTCTAAGATAAGATCCCAGCCCGGTACACCGCCAGTTGGGACTGTTTCAGCTGCTGTCCCAAATGTTGCAGGAGTTGTCCAGCAGCTGCAGGCTGCGCTAGAGGCCTTCCAAAAGGTCAGGTCTGCCTCCAGCACAGCCTCCAGCAGCAAGGGGAAGAGCTAGGGACGTCGCTCTTCAACCCCTGCCCGGCGCCCTAACCTGCCACGAGACGTCCATTTTCCTGCAAACCCCCTCAATCCCAACACCCTTCCATGGCATGACTTGAAGATTCAGGAAGGGGTGTGGAGAAAGAGGAAGGAGAGGGAAGTCTGCCTGAGGTGTGAGGGACCGCATTTCCTCAAGGACTGTCCCTACATGCCTAACCCAACTCAGTCAAAAAACTGCAGCTGAATCTGGAGACAGCGGTTCCCTCCAGTGCTGCACCTGCATCTGCAGCTGCAGCAGCTTCAGTTGAAACTTCCTCCTTCCCATCCAGT